GGGGCAGTCTTTGGCCACCATTGTTTCATCATCCGACTGGTCCTGTCCTACCTGTCTGTCGGTGAAGTGGTACTGGCAGAGCTTCTTCCACAGCAGGCGGTCCTCAGTGAGCGTCCCCAGCTCCAGACACACCTGTCCCAGGCTGAGCAGGTCCCTGCCGTCCGTGAGACGCTGCATGATGTTCAGCTGTAGGCTGGCCGGCAGCTGGGTCAGAGTCACGCCTGTACACGTGGGCTGAAGGGGAGAGACGGGACTTTACTTTACACCCCAGAGCCTCTGGGGGGAGAAGGCATGATGGCTGATGCTTACCCGCTTAATCTGGATGTTGTCCAGCTGCTGCTGCCACTGCAGGATGTTCTCCATGCGGTGCACCCAGATGTTGATGTTCCCCACCAGGACGGACTTGCCCATGTCCTGGACGAGGCTGCACAGAGAGACGTACAGCGTCTGCAGCAGCTCTTTGATGGGCCGGATGTTCTGCTGGTCGTCCAGGACTGAGAAGGGTCATTAATCAGGATTAATAATCTGGTGTTAGATGGAGAATAGACAATCAGGAGCCTCTAGATTAAAAAGTGGCTACAATCAGCCCCTCTGTGTTTAGAATGCCAGGCTCAAAGGCTCTCTACCTAAACAACCAGAGTGTTTAGCTGCAGGAAGGTTTAGTTTACATGTCGGCCTGCGGAGGAGTCTGGAGACCGTCGGCACTCGAGCTTCAGCCTCCTCCACATGTCGGCTTCTCACCCACAAACTGAGCAGAACCGTCTTAACCTTACATGGTTTGTTCAGCAGTGAAAAACAGGACGTACGTTCTGCGTGAGCTGCACTGCAGACAGAAGCTAAGATGCTAATTAGCAGGGAGGCTGCAGCTCACCTTTCTGAACGACCCGCTCCAGGATGTTCATGTAGTTCTTCTGCGCCACTCCGCTCAGCGAGGGCAGCTGGGACCTGGCGATGAGCTCCAGGAGCTGCAGCAGAAGAACAAAACAAGGACGGAAAGGAAAAAACATTAATTCCTCCCCGTCAGCTCCTGAGACTCTCTGTTCTGCTGCTGCTCCAACAAAGACACCTCCCCACAATAAATACTGACGACTGGAGGCGCTCCAGTTGGGTCCAACTCAGCCTGAAGCTGCGGTCCAAGGAGGACATGAGTCTTCAGCTCTGACAGACCTTGATCAGAGTCCCCCCCTGGGGGGGGGGGGGGCTGCTGGGAAGGTGCAGGACAACAAGCCAGACTGTCAACAAGACCAGCTGCCACCAACAATCTGTAATCATTTGACTGCTGAGCTGCTCCTCATGTCAATTAGCTGAATCATGTTCAATGTGTGTGTGTGTGTGTGTGTGTGTGCGCGTGCGTGCGTGTGCACGGTGGGTCATGGCCAGTGGATCTGTAATCCAGTGACGTCATGGAGAAACTCGTGTTAGAGCCATAAATAAATGAGGTAAGCTTCATTAGTTAGACTTTTAAGAATCTGAATGTTTCTTAAATGTTTTTCGGCTTGTTCCGCTATTTCATCAATTCATAATCAAAACGTTCGGCTCGTTTACTTGATTCAGGGGTTTTTATGCTTTTTCAGCAGCTTTTGGGATATTTATCTGCCAATTGTAACTTTTATTCAGCAATAATTTAGCTAAAGTTGCTCTTGAATCACTTTTCAACTTTTTGTGCTTTTTCCTGCCTCTCTACTAATTTCAGCTTTTTTTTTTTTTTACAACTTTTTTAGCCAATTCTTTCTGATCATTTAGATTTCTTTTAGCTAATTTTAGATTTTTTTGGTAATCTTTTCATCCTCTCTGTTCCATTTCAACTTTTTCTACACATTTCAGCCATTTTTGGGGAGTGGTGGGGCAGAGGTTAGAGAAGATGGGCCTGTGATCGGAAAGTCGCAGGGTCAACTCCCCAGACCGATAACATCAAAATGTGGGTGGAAAAGGTGGAGCACCCACGCCTCCTTCCACCCTCATTCGCCCCACTCTGGGCCCTTGAGCAAGACCCTTAACCCCCACCAGCCGCTCCCAAACAGGTCTCTCTTGACAATGAGTTCTCGTGGCTCAATGAGACTACCTGTATAAATAAAAGGTAAATAAAAAATAAAAATGTTATTTTTCTGCTGCTTTCCTCTTTTGTTTCCCTGCTTTCAACAAACGGCAGCTTCCACTCGGTCGTCTTGCACGTCAGCGTCGCTCCTGACTGATCCGTCTGATCCTCCATCTCTTAGCAGCTCGAACGTTCCGCTCCGTTTGCAGAGCAGCTGGGAGGAACAACGAGCGCTTTAGACTCCGCTGCACCTGACAGCTCACTACGCTGAGGACTTGTCGCTGCTTGGCCTTGAGGACAGAGAGCACAGCTTGTCCCGTGAGAGGAGGAAGAGACTAATCTGTGCAAGTGAACCGACCCAGAGACGGCCCATCAGATGGTCCAGACTCGTGCTACATCACTTGATTGTTATTAGCTGGAGCCAGGGCCAAAAACTGCAACACGGGCGATAAACACCACCTGAAGATGGAAAATGGTAGAAAAGAGGAGGTCGTGGGGGGGGGGGGGGGGGGAGGGGAAACTGTAGAAACC